GGGGGGCGATCTCGGAAAGAAAAATTCAGACCTTTACCTTAACAACAGCACAGTTTAGTAGTAAATGTAGTAGACCTAGTAGCAGCAGTAGGTATTTGAGAACAAAACAGCCTGCTGTTATTTCCCGTCGACTGAGTTAGCTTTAGCAGATCAACATCACGCTGTTGGGAAAATGTTTGTTTTTACCTTCCGTCGATACCGTTGTCGTAACTACAGATACTACAACAATATTTGGGAAAGAATTCTGGGTATTTAGCACTTCCGGACCGGAAGTAAAAATGACAAGCCGGATTAACTACTGTGAAAGGGGGAAGCACTTTGTTGAAATTTAAATGTGTGTGGTTTTTTTCTGAGATTGAGAAAGTGGCAGGTTTCTTTGTGGTACGTAGACAGTGTGTGAATGAATGGATGGGTGGATGGATAAATAGATGGGTGAATGAATGAACGAATGATGAATGAATGAATGGATAAATGAATGAATGAATTGATTAATAGATGGGTGAATGAATGAATGAATGAATGAATGAATGAATGAATGAATGAATGAATGATTAATAGATGGGTGATTGAATGAATGAATGAATGAATGAATGAATGAATGAATTAATTAATTAATAAAATGGGTGAATGAATGAATGAATGAATGAATGAATGAATAAATGAATGAATGAATGATAGGTCAAGTACGAGAAGTTCCGAAAAGGTGCGGATTTTAGGGTAGAGGAGAGAGAGAGGAAAGGAGGGCTAAAGTTTACGTTCAGCTCTCTATAGATCTGTATCGCACCCCAGCAATAAGGTCATTGCGTGCACACGTAATTCGACCCCCAAAACGACGTCACACACAAGTATTTGGGATTAGCGATGACACCCCCCCCCTCCTTTTAGAGCATGGAGACACTGAGAAGAAGACATGACATGCAGCGGTGACGTAAGCACAAATAGAGCAAAATCAACATACAGAGTGTATGGGTCGCATCTCAGGGCGTTTGAGATCCAATCTCGCTCGGCTTTCTCTTTTCCCTCTCGAGGAAAGTGAAAGAGAGGAGCGGATTTTTATCGCCCGCTAAATCTACCCACAACCATTTTTCTAGATTCTTTCGGCGGGCTGCCTTTCATTCCGTGAATATTCCTCCAACGTCTCTTTTTTTTCTTTTTCTGTTCTATTTTTTTTTTACTTCTTCAA